ACAGACACTAGTCTGGGAAATCACAGGTTTAACACCTCTGCTCTACAACTTCAGGAAAGATTCTTCAGGTCCAGGGAATCTGATGGGGCAATTACCCAAAAGATATCTGTGGGTTTCCCAGCAATCTACATCTTGAGCAGCTGGGGACAAGTTCTCAAGTAGGTTTGGTTTCAACTTTTGTCAACTCCCTAAGTTTACCATCAGTCAGCCAACAAAAAAGCCCTGCGAGCCAACAGCATTAGTTTCACAGTCTCTTGAGAATAGAATTTACGTAATTAATTATCTCTCACTTGTCCTCCATGGGACTGTATGATCCCTCAGTACTGGGCGCCAGTCACAGCACTGATACACTGATAATAAACCCCTCTGGTACCTGCCCCTTGGCTAGAGATCAGTGAACAATTCAGAGTGAATAATGTATCTGATAAATCATTCCTCTTCTGCTGATCAAATTATTGTGTACAGACAACCTCATTTTCCCAGAGGTGTGGTTATCCCTATTTGCCAAATATTCTTTGCAAATAAGTTTTTCTCTGCAGACTATTCCCAGGTAACTCTTCCTGGCAATCCTTCTTCCCCCAGCTGTGCTGCTTAGCTTTGATTTGGCATCACAACCCTAATGAGAAATTGCCCATCTTTCCTGGCTAGCTGGGAACAGCTCTCCTTGTTTGAGTGCAGTTTGTCACATGGCAGCTCCCAAGGGCCAGTGGCACAATCGGGGCTCCAGAGTGTTAAACCACGGACAAGGAGTGAGCTGTCACAGCACCCCGGGTGAGCAGAAGTGCCCTACAGTTAAAGGGATAATACCTTGTCCCAAAGAGATTACAGAGGACAAGTTGGAAGGGGTTTGGCAATGAAAGCAAGGCATCAGTGTGTACTTAGGGACACGGAGTGATGGAGGGAAGAAATGCTGTCAGAGCCTTCAGCTGCATTGCCACTGCTCTGTGCAAGCTGCAGTGCTTCCCACATCCCAAGCCCTCCACCCACCCCTCGGAAGCAGAGATACTCAGAAAGAGACCCTCAAGCCCAGCTTGTGGCATCAGCATGGGCTGGATCTCACTCCAGGAAAGGGGATTCACTGCACTGACCCACAGGCTGTGGTGGGACACCCTGGGGTAGGAGCCCTGCGATTCCACAGCGAGTCAGTGCGATAGAGGGGCACTTCCAGGCAAGGAACCATACCAGAGGTGGGATAATTCCCCCTCTTCAGGAATCCTGTGTTCTGAAGCGGCCCACAGCTGTAATATGAGCTACAGAATGTCAATGTGTCTGAAAGTTTGTATTCTTTCCTATTCCACATCACTGTTTCCACATTTGGATCTGGGGTTTTTTTTAAACATGCAGTTTTTTCCCCCTACAAGATCAGTGTTAAAATCTTTTTTGACTATCATTTGACTATTTCACCTCTGAGTGTGTAACTTGGAGCACTAAGCACATGGCTTTTAAACTCATAAATCTTTAGAGTCAAGTATATACCTGAAATATTTCTTAGAAACAAAGTCTCTTGCAAGTACTTTGCAAGTATGCTCTAAGGGCACAGGTCTTTTGTCCCATTTAGAACAGCAGAAGGACTGACTCTCCAAAACAAGATTTCTCAGATACATCTTTCAAAACTTTATCAGTTCAGTTATGCTAATGATATATTTATATACTAAAAGTGAGACTTATGGAATTGAAAAAAAAAAGTAGCAAGTAGGACAATACTAATTTTAGATACTGAAGCTGTTGATTAAGAATTATTTTCCTGGGATCAAAGCATATGGTTATGGAAAAATTAGCAGATTTTAATTTGCATGGAACAGGAAAAATCTGCTTATATAAAGAAAGAGAAAAATTACTCCTGAAAGAAATGAACACTTGAAGTGCTGTCAAGAACATACAGGAGGCTATACTCAAACAGTAAATAACTATACCTAAACAGTCAGCACTCTGTGCATAATTAAAAGTAGTATTTGCATTAATCTGATAATGTCAGGTTTATATTGCAAAACAGCACTGGTTTGTGTTCAGAGAAACCCACAGGCAAACAAGGCCTGCCTGCGTCCCAAACAAAACACACTGTTGGAACCGTCAGCAACCTCATCCCCAAGCTCAGAAACAAAGCATACCACTGCAAAATGCTGGTTATAAATTAATTTTGAGCGCTTGAGAACATTTTTGGAATTGAATTAAACGGGCTGCGTTCTCGTGACTCATTTTTGCCCGAACGGTTGCAGTTTCCAGGTCTTTGCCTCCCTCGCACAGTGAGACTCTGCCCGCCCGGCTCAGCTCTGGCTCGGGCTGGGACCGGCTCCCGCCCGCATCGCTCCGGACCGCACGGCGGGGAGAAGAACACTGCCGTGTCAGCAGTCCTTTAGGCCTGATCGGGACCCAAGTCCTGGAGTCTATAAACCCAGAGGGGATCTGAACCGCCTCCTGCTGAGATTCATCCAGCCTCAAGCGGGGCAAGCAGGACCCAGCAGTGAGCCGCGTGTGCCGGCAGCCGTCCGCAGCCAGCAGGACCCGGGTTAAAGCTGTGATCGCCGGTAGTGACCGCGCTGAGCAAAGCCAGGGCTGCTGCTGCTCACTCGCGTCCTTCACTAGCAACTGCCTTTTAGAAATAGAGCGCAACGAGAGACCAAAGCTCTTTCTTCCCCTGCAAACTCTGAAGAGATGAGGCAGCTCGGCTCCATTCGGACCCCAAGGGGGCCTCAGGGCGTGCTGCTTCTCGGCAAGTTTGAAAATTCCACGCTAAATATCACGGGACATATCCCTGGGGCTGCCAGGGAGCTAACACAGAGATACATTTAGAGCAACAGGGGCCCATATCAGCCAAGGGCTGGTACACACACAGGCAGATATGGCACTACCTCTTCTCAAATACTTGAAAAAAGGAAAAGGTATAAAGCTATAGATTTGTTTAACCGAAGTGATATGGAATTCTTCTACGAGGAGTAACAGACATCATGGCACAAACTCAACTTTGGTCTAAAAGAAATAAAAATATCTCCCCACTAGTCTCCAAAGCTATCTTCTAAAGATAACACAAACACCTGCTGTATTTTAAAGGCATTTCACATCACTGACATTTTTCTCCACTATTTCTCTTTCAATTTACAGATCAGGGCTCAGCAGGTGCCTTGCAAAAGGTTGATTCATAAACAGGAGAAGGCAGATATCATCTTCCTGAAGGAAAATATGTCCAGCTCTGATGAGGACAAGAGCAGATCCTCCAATGACCTTTGTTTGGGTTCAATGAGCACAACACAAGCAACAGTATTTGTGCAAACTATGCTCCCTAGTTAGAAAATAAATCTGAATTTCTTTAGTCCCCTTTTTTTGCATACCCTCAGGTATGCAACATTTCAACAGTTATATATGTGACCTTAAACCCAAACTTCATGGAAGGGATCTCAGTAGTCCCAGCTGGGCAAACATTTTGGGGCTGTAAAAGCTGATATCATGTCTTGAGTGCCAGCCACACTCCCAGCTCCCAACAGTCTCTGTTAACTTCACCGACTGTCCCTTATCTCCAACCCTTCTGCTGCACACACTGTAGGGATATTTTGGCTTCCTTTCTCCTGCCTTACATCAGGGAGCTCCCCATTCTGGCCTGCTGCTCACAAAACAATTTATCAGGCCTTATTTCATTGCACTGGGCCCTCCCCCCTGGGCCCCCACCCTGTCCCCCAGCACGCCGCGGTGCTGGCAGCAGGCAGGAGGGGAGGCGTGGGCTTGCTCTGGAGAAAAGCGCGCCAACGGGCTGATCTTGGCGCCCTTCACCAGCCGGCTGCTGCCAGAACCCTCTGTCGTGGCACTCCTGCAGCAGGACACTGACTTCTATTTCCCCATTCACTAGAATGCAAATCTGTGAAATTTCAAGACATTTGATATCTTTAACACTTCCATATCTGGGAAATGTAATGCAAAGTGGAAAATGAGTGCAAAAGCTATTAGGAGCCAAAAGACACACTGCCTGTCACAACCAGCTCACTACATTATGAAATAAAAGTAACCTTGTAAAAACCTTACCAAAATCCTGGGAAATCTGGCAAAAAGGGTAGGTAAAAGTCTGTGGTGATTCCATCAAAGTTTTCTGATGGCTTCTCAGCATGGCAACCACAATCCAGCCTGGCCTCCACTAGGTGTTAGAACAGCAATTCGGCACCGTTGGCAGCACGAGCAAGTCTGGCACGAAGAGAAACCAGTGGTTTCCTCCTTACTAGTGCAGGAGGAAGCACAGGACTTCCTCTCTGCCTCCTCCCGTGCTGCGGGAGTGAAAGAGGAGATGGCAATCCAAAGATATACCAGTGCAGAAAAAAAAAATAAAAAAAGAGAAAGAAAAGAAACCCAGAGCAGGGCATGCTGCCACTGTTTAAAACGTAGGTGAGATTTAAATAGCAATAATCCCCAGAAACTATCTGGTTCAGGTCATCAACTAACAAGCTGGTTAATTCCTGTAAGGATTAATGCTTGAAATTATTATGCCTGACAGATGTTTGCTGAATGGGAATTGAATACACAGGATGAAGACCAGCAAGAAGTAAAAGTGCCAGACAGGTACGTCAGAGCTGAGATTTTACAAATCATTAACTCATGCTCTAACATAATAATAATTTTCCTTATCTTTTTTACTCTCAAGGTCCCTAGCAGGAAATTCCCTTAACAGACTGACACACTAATCTAGATTCTGCTCTCAGTTACAATCACGCAAGACAAAAAGGAGGTTAGCTGATATTTTCAGGAAATACCTCTGCTGCGCAATTCAGCTGAATGGAATAAACTTCACAGTCCTGTCCCTCATGACAGAGAACATGATGAATTCTCCTCTCCTAATTCCCCAAAACTGTTGGAAAATATAAAGCAGCATTCTCCCTTGATTAATTAAGATCCTGCTGGGTACTCCTGCTTTTAGGCATTCAGTAAAACCCACTAGTTTGGTCTATCTAGCCCACTACCATGTGCATCATCCTGATGGTGTAGGTCTAATACACTCCAGGACCACAACAGGTGCCACTTACTCAAGCTGGTGTAAATCCAAAGCAGGTCCACAAGGCCAACAATCTCTCAACCTTTTTAGTTGCTGTATGCCATACTTTATACTACACTGAGCAGCATTTCTAGAATTACAGCTAATATGCAGGAGAGGTGGAGAAACCTGTGAAAGCAAAACATGGGGGGGGAAAGTTAGTTTGAATTCTACCTCCAAATTAGAAGCTACAGATAAAAACAGGGATAAAACTGTGAGCCTCTCCAGCCATTTTGGAATCAGGCAGCACAAGGGAAGAGCATGGGGAAAAACTGAAGAGAGGAACAAAGATGGATGAAAACCTAGGTGGATGAACAACAGTGGAATAGAAAATGTTTATCAAGCTAATCTGTGAAGTTGCTAATACAGAGAATTAACTGAAGACCTCAGTAGCCTCAGAGAGGCTGTGACCCCCATGTGCAGCGGTGACCTCAGCTCAGCCAACCATCCAGAATTTCAGTAAAAAAACCTCAAGGGACAGAAGAGGAGGAACATCTTAAGAATTAGCAGTGCTGATTGTACCTCTAGAGAGGGAACTGATATATCAGCCATTTTCCAACTGTCTTGTTAGCCTTTTGCTAACATGAATAATCCCTAGAATTATATGAATATCTCAAAACACCTCAGGATAAGAACATCTCAAAACACATGCAGACTAAACTATATGATGCCTAGGAGATGTAAACTAGAGATTGGTCCACTTATCTGAAAGTCAAATCATGGCTGTTTTAGAATTATGTTGTTTGAATGGAGGGTTTTAAATGCCTATAAGTGAACCCCTTTATCACTTTCCCCTTGCTCTCTCTCTCTTGTGGTATATCCACAGTCACTGCAAATTTGCCATAGTCCTGACAACAAAAAAATTAATTAATATTTTTTAAAAAGCACTGGAACTAATAGTACTGAAGAAGCAGCACATACATGGCCGACATCAGCTATGCACAGCAGCTTCTAAAACAAGGTAAGAATCAGCCTCTTTGGATGACCAATCTAGAAGGCAAAGGAGCTCCCCTGGTGAGTACAGACAGCCACAAGCTAGAGACAGCAATGACAGAACCAATGAAAAATGCAGCATTCCCACAAAACTTTCTGTAAGTTAGTATCACAACATATTTAAAATATATAAATAACACATTACCACTTCACTAGAATTCCTTTTATTTTTCCATATTTTTAAACGAAACCAGGTTCAGCAAAATATTCCAAATATCCTCACAACATCTGACCTGCCATCTCTTTTTTCTCATATAAAGAAGTCAATTTTCAGTTTCAGAGTGGGATGAAACTTTTCCCACTCTTCTGGCCAGCTATCATTTCTGTTATGGTAGCAGAAAGCATTTGAATGGCCCCTTCTTTGGGCTGACATGTCCAAGTTCAAACAGGGATTCAGTTACATCTGTAGCTGTGGTAACATCTGCTGTAGCTGTAACTCTTGTAACACATCTGTTGGATGATCTCAGATTACCAGGCAGCCCGTGGGCACTGAGAAGGAAACATTTCTGCAAACCCAGAGCAGCCCACGGAGTTAAATGACTACACTGCCCCACTGCTTAATCTACTGTAAGTGATACTCAGGGCAGGGTGGCCTCATTGCCCGCTAACAGTCTGCATCTTTAAGCAGGCAGTGATGTATTTGTCCTCTAACTGCTCAGGAGACAGACATGGTTTCCCCAGATGGGTTGCAAGGGTTATAAATTATAGTGTTGTCTGAGCTCTGACAAAGAGCTATGAAACTCCTCAGATAGGAAACAGAGCAGCAGTGTAAAAATCTTTCTTCAACCATAGCAACTGTGTTATATATTCTTACTACTCTGCAGAACATATTTCTAACTATGTTTTTGTTGTGAATTAGAATAGCATTGGTACAAAGGGACTGTCAGTGCAAGTGCTTCTCACCGAAGAATCTGGTCTGGAATTGCTGTGAAAGGACTTTTCAGAAAAGAAACACTCACATCAAGCAATCAGGTTGTCCAAACTGCTGGGCTCTGAGGTACTGCCAGGGATAGCACAGACAGGTGTCAAGCTCTTGATCTCTCTTTCTGGTTTTACACAGTTTCACTCTGTGTAAACAATGAATTGTTATGAAGAACCTAATCATTATGCACAGCCTAATAATTCAGGTGTCCCACCTGGCAAGCTGAGCGTCTTAAAGGTCTAGCTTAGGTCATCATTATGCTCTGCTCCATTCAGCAAGGAAAAACAAACAAACAAATGAAAAAAGTATTTTGATTTACCAGTTAGCATTAAAAGAAACAAACAAACAAAAAAATTCAATCCACACTCCAAACCAAGCTCTGAAAAATGTCAAATCTGATCTGAGCAGGACTAAAAGAACCAAGAAGTAGGTTAGCTGCTGATGCAGTTGCTTAACTGAGAAAAACATCTATTTGCAAATCCCCAAACTAAGGTGTAACCTGCTAGTAGCAATAACAGCACTTCACAAAATACCAGTGATAGCTGACACAGGAAGGGCACTATAGGAAACAATAACCTGCAGAGCACTGAAGCACATCCAAGTAGATTCCTCAGCACTGACTAACTACAATAACTAACTAACGATTCAATAATAAAAGGACTTAAAAAAAAAAAAAAGGTGACTGTGACATTTTAAGTATTGGGATTAAACATGCCGACATAATTACTTATAAAAGTGGTTTTAATAAACACCTTCAGGTCTTTCATCAGCCAGCAAATACTACTTCACTCTGCAGACCAGAATGACAGTTCCAGCCCTCCTCCATCATGAGGTATTCACAGAATCATGGAACGGCTGAGCTTGGAAGGGACCATTGGAGCTCATCTAACCCAACCTCCCCGTTCAGTCTGGGTCACCTAGTAAAGAATGTTACTATGGATTGTGTCCAGATGGCTTTTGAGTCTCTATAAGTCTCTTTTGAGTCTCACAATATGCAATAGCTTGACAAGTAAAGACCTGAGGGGAGAAAAAAAGTAACACTGAAGGCAAAAATACCCTTAGGGTTGCTGGTAGCTCCATCCCAAACAGGAATTTCTCTTGTAGAAAAAAAACCAAACAGAACCAAACCAAACAACCAAAAGAACACCTCCCAAAACAAACAAACAAAAAAAAACAACAACAAAAAACCCAAACAAACCAAAAAACCCTAAACAAACAAAAAAAACCCTAACCGAAAGACACTTGAAATATTCTCCTTTTTGTCAGGCTGCAGACATTTTCTGTAGATTGGCATTTCACACCAGCAGCTCAACTAATGGAGTCAGAAGGTTTATAATCTGAGAAGACAAGAGAAAATCCCAGGCTCTGGTAAAGCCAAGGGCAATACTGTCACAGAGCCAAGATTTCTACCCTGACTCCTGTGGACTTAAAAGACAAGGCAACAAGTAAATTTTTCCTTGGGTGCTCTCTTAATCTGGAGATCTAAATGAATGCGCGTCTGCGGTGTTTATTACTGAGCCAGTGTTATTAGCCAGTGTTAAAGTCTTGTACTTCACACAAAGCCTGTGCTTAACCTGCTGCACCTATAGACCAATTCTGCTGACTTACATAAGAAACATCACCTACATTTGCCAGCTGCTGTCATCTGCCATTCATGTAACCAAAGATTTAAGTGCTCATGCAAAGACTCTTGCACTAAGAAAAATCAGTCATCTAAGCTAAAGGAAATGCACAGCCTGGGGAAGAACTGACAGCTTCAGAACTGACAGAAATTATTTCTTTTATTTAGTCACAGAAACTTTAAGGCAGGAGGATATTTTCTCACATGACCCAGTCTCTGCATGTAACTGATTTGAAAATGCAGTGGGTACATCAGTGCTTGTATACTTTCCATCTTCATCTTCCCTGAACTCCTTCAGGCTGCACTGACGATGGGGCACAGAGCCTGGATAAAGACCAGCTGTTACATCTCTCAAACTACTCCTCAGTCAGAACCAACACATGTTCTTATTATACAATTGCCTCATTATAATGGCAGGAAAATAACAAAGCATGTAATGCTTTAAATCACATATCACTTCTATGTGAGATGGAGATAAAACACAGCCAAAAGTAACCCCTACACTTTTTTCACAGTTTGATTTATTATTGTTGTTGTGTCAGTCCAGATGAGTGAGTAGGCGAGTCAGTGTGTGAGATAATCTTTTAGGGTGAAATCTCCAGTGTTGGTTTTTAAATAAAACAGTACCCAGATGCACTGTGGGTGGTTTACTCTGTCACACCTGTGACACCCTCCCACCTGGTACCTACCACACAGCTGCCACACACATCAAGAGTACCCTGTGGGATAAGATGTTAGTGTCCCATTTCACAGATGAAGACATTTATCTTTCAAGTGCAGCCTTTGACAGACCCAGGAACACACAAAGCATCCAACATCACTGGTCCCATTTTAAACCTCTGACTGTATATGTTCCTTCAAGATCACAGAGCAAACTTGTGGCAGGCAAAGCCGCATTAAGGGAGGTTTAGACGGGATGTTAGGAAGCACTTCCTGCCTAACAGGGTGGTCAAACATTGCAATAGGACTCCTAGAGAGGAGGTCAATGCCCCAAGCCTGTCAGGGTTTGAGGCATTCAGTGCCCTTAATAATGTGCTTTAACTTCTGCTCAGCCTCGAAGTGGTCAGGCAGTTGCACCAGGTGATTGTTGTAGGTACTTTTTATTATTATAATAATAATCAACCACAAGGGGAGCAGCAGGTAGCCTTATGTAAAGTGTGTCTAGGATTCCCTGGTGACAGGCACTAGATCTACTACATGTAACAGTAAGTTCCCCAGCACAAGCTGTCCCACGTGGGGCTCTCATTTAGTTTGTGCTCCCAGGTATTACTGTCATGTTTCTCAAAAGGCTTTCTGCATAGCACAACTGTAACAGCAGGTATTTCACCTTTCAATGCCACTAAATAAACATGAATCAAGAGCAAAACAAACAAGCCACAGCTTGATACCTGAATTCTAATCAAATTACAATCTTCTGGTTCTCCTGGTTTCCTGCTATCTCTTAATTTCTTCCAGTATGTTTTTTTTTATCCACCTGTTCAGTGATATCCCAAGGCTGAGACTGCCCTGTAATTCTCAGCCTGTTATAATCAAAGCATTCCCTTGAAATTCCTAGATATGAAGGACTTCATAGGAAGTCCATGTATTTTGTTTAAATGTAACCTAGAAAAGAAGCTTGTAACAGCAGAGACATTAAAAGTCAGTTCTGTCCAAGGAAAAAAAATGTTTCCACGCCCCATTGAAACCAATGCACTTTCCTTGAAATAAAATTAAGCTGTGTGCACAGACAGAGACATCAAAGATTGCTTATTAACCTGATATGGGGTGCCAGTGAGAACCACCACCCCTGTTAGACCTACAATTCTTTCCTCAGCATTGAGGTAGGGCCACTGCAGATACCTACCTGAAGTTAAATACCCCAGAGCTCTGCTCTCCGGGTAGTATTTCTGTAATTCAGGCAGTACCATCCTGTGATGCAATTTATTAGCAATACAGGAACATATGATAAGCAGCAGCTCAAGCTACTTTAAGTCTACAAATCACTGAATCCACAGCAATGTTGAGCATGTTGCTGAATCATCAGTCCTTGTGGAAGGCAAGGACTGACTTGGAGCTCCAGCTCTGCAGAAGGTCTGTAAGGAGCAATCCTTATGAAAGGATCTCCACTTTCAGTTTAAAAGACTCCATTTCCTTAATACTTCAACTGCTATGCCCTTAACAAACACTGGAAAACAAACAAGAAGAGTAAACTTTCAAACTAAAGAACAAGACTGTGTTTAAGTTGATGCTGACAACACTGCAGCTAGTTATGGAAATATTATAAGAAAAGTCTGCATATGCCAATATCAGCCTCAGGCAATAAAACTGTATTTCAGACCAAAATGTAAGCAAAATTTAAGGCTGTGACATTTGGGCCCTATAACTAATCATTATCATGCTGTTTTGAACTTTAAACACTGCATTTGATGGCAACTGATGACACAATGGCACTTTTCAGTTTTTCTCGTGTCATTTCAGACTACTTTAACCAATATTAACTGAAGACACTAAATTCATATCACTCAGTTGTTTGCAGAGCAGACTTGCATGATCAAAAGGGACCTTGACCACCTGTTTTGCATGTTTTAATTTCATGGAATTGCAGCCTGAAGAAGCTGAGACGTTACTGACCATCAGTAAGCATTAAAATATATTTTCCTTCAAGAGTAAGACTGCAGTTACTGCAGTCCAAAGACAGTAAGAAGGCTTTTTCAGCCAGACTCAAAGAGGTATTAAAGGACCTGGTATTTATTCCTGTGGATCTCAGGTGCCTGATACCTTTGTCTTCATATAGAAAATGTGCCAAGCAAAAAAGTCCCTTGCCAGTTACACCCTCTGTTAACATTCCCGGAGCTCAAACATTTTTCCTGCTACAATGTGTTCTTTTCATTTCACATGCCTGAATTAGCAGGATTCACACTTGGCCCACAATCCTTACATGGAGATACATAATCCAGTTATAAGGGGTCCATTCTAAGGACACTATTGAACCTGTCTGTGGTAGAACATGTTTGAGAGGACAGGTCAAAGCTGTGCCACAAAACCCCATCTGCAGCTGACAAGGACTAACAGTTAAAAACCCCAAATCAAAACAGAAATCCAGTATCTTGTCATTGCTACCAATGATCTGGGATTTGTCCTGCCAGAATACATCATTTTTAGTCAGGATGAATGGTCACTGCTTTTGCTTGGTTTTATGGGAATTATGCTTATATGATGGCAGTCTTCAAACTGTTGGCCAATTTTGTCAAAATAAAATCAATCTAAAGACACTACCTGAGATCATAGCCCTTCTGTACTAGTGCAAATGTGTGCCTAGCAAAACAAAGACATGAGTTGTGCCCTGGAGATGCAAGGATATAAAAACAAAGCACTCTGTGACCAGGCCAGTACAGGAAATCGACCTACAGAGCTGTGTTCCTTGGTTGATTAAAAGCATACACTGAATTGTACCAAGACTTTCTGTTCCCATGTTCAAAATGCAATGTATCATATCAGTGTTACTGGTATTCTTTGAAGTTTTAAGGGAGATGCAAGT